TATATATATATATATATAAAATTTTTATATAAACAGGGAAGTAGTGCATAGGAGTAAGGAGGCTTTCTTGGCCCTTTCTCAAAGCAGGGGTTCAATTTTTCCTTATATACTGCATTGGATAGACCAACACTAGAATACTGTGTACAGTTCTACTACTTACATTTGGAAAAAGAGCCACAACAATGATTCAAGGGCTGGAGAAAATACATCACGGTGGGAGAGTTAAACTGCTAAATCTTTTTATCTTATAAAAAAAATGGCAAGATACTTGTTTACAATGTACAGGTAAGTTTGTGGGAAGCAAATAGCAAATAGCAATAGAATCTTTAATCTGGTGGGAAAAAAATAAGTGGTTGGAGACTGAAGCCCGACAAATTCAAATAAATTAGGCACAACATTTTTTATAACAGTAAGGGTGATTTATCATTTAAACAAAGTACCAAAAGAATAGATGAAGTGACCATGCTTTCAAATCAAGACGAGATCTCTCTTTGGAAGATAAGCATTAGTAAAACAGAAATCAATGGGTTCATTATGGCTGTGTCTAGACTGGCCAGTTTTTCTGGAAAATCAGCAGCTTTTCCGGAAAAACTTGCCAGCTGTCTACACTGGCTGCTTGAATTTCCACAAAAGCACTGACGATCTCATGTAAGATTGTCAGTGTTCTTGCGGAAATACTATGCTGCTCCCATTTGGGCAAAAGTCCTTTTGCGCAAAAGGACCAGTGTAGACAGCTCAGATTTGTTTTCCACAAAAAAGCCCCGATCGCGAAAATGGCCGATCGTGCCAATCTAGATGCTCTGTTCTAAAATGCTTTTCACGGAAAACTTTTCCGTGAAAAGCATTTCCGGAAAATCATGCCAGTCTAGACGTAGCCAATAAGTGTAACTAAATAAAATGAATGGCCAGTGATAGACAGGATATCCGACAAGATTATACAAGAGCCCCTCTGGCCTTAAAATGTATTCAATTTAATTATTATTTTTTGTTGCTGATTTGACTCTTTATGACTTCAATAGCATGAATCACTATAACCTATGCATCTAATGTTGGAGGTGTTGAGCATCCTCAGCTCATGATACAGCAATGGTCTGTATCTGTCTCTAATCAAAGTCAGATAAAAAAAATGACTCCCTCATCTATTTTTTTTCCAGGTTAAAATTAATGCAACATTACTTTATAAGCATTTTAGTTTACAGATATATTTTATACTTTTACATTAGGGGATTTATCTTTACAATTCTACTAGAGGATTTCAGGTAATGGATATGTTTGATATGTTACATTAAAAGTGCACTAGTATTCCTCACTATGGAGTGTTAGTTAAGCTTTCAGTTTTCTTTAATAAGCATTTTTTCTAAAATATTTTTAACAGATCTGTATGACTTGAGACATCACCTTAGCATAAAAAACACCATGGAGTCTGAACACAGACATAAAAATGAAAGTAGTACGAAGAACTTAATCCTTTTACAGCATCAGAGATCACATTTTGAATCATAGCTCTTTGACACTGAATAAGAACCTGGAAAATGTTAAATACCATTTTGCTTGCATTGTCTTCAACCTTTTTTTTTTCTGAAAAATATCTAATAGATCAGATAAACATGGTATCTGTCATAAAATTATGTGTTTACTCATTTTGTGATGGAAAATTCAAATCTCTTTTTAAATAAAGATAAAATTATCTTTTTACACTAATATTATCATTTCCTTCCTAAAGAAAAAATATTTCCTTGTCTAAAAGTAACTAACCATACATTTAATCAAGCTTTCATTTTCAAAAATTATACTCCTGCCATATAAGACAATTTCACCTGTCAAAAAGTACAGCAAAGCTTTTATAGGGAGAAATCTATCAAAAGTATTTAATGTTGATACAATAAGAATGGACAACTTATAAAATAGTTAGTCAAAACCTTTTATTCTTCTTCCTGCCAAGAACTTCTGCTATAATGAAAACTAAACAAAGCTACTGAAAAATAAAACAGACACAGGTTTGCATGTCTCATAAAACAAAACAAAACTATCAAACGTGTGTATTTTTGAGGAACAAAGAAGTCTGATTTTTATTCCAGGTGTATTCTAGCTAAAAATATTTCAGAGTGAAAATGAGGAATGAATGTTTACTGTATACGTTATTTCCAAACTTTATATTTTTGCTTTTAAGCCTTGAGTGTCATGAGTTCTTCCTGGAAAACAATATCAAACACTTCAAAGCTGAGGATCTAAATTTGTTGGAAAATCCCATCTTTAATGCCACTGGACTTAGGATCCTATTTGATCCTGAGCATTCTAAACTCCCAGTGAAGCCACCAGTAACTGAGGATACTTAAAAAACAATGAGTAGTCTTGAGGCACCATAGAATCATGAGCCTTCTTAGCACCCCAA